GTTGTGTTTGATATTTTTGATGATATTGAGGAAAAATTAAATCTCAAAGACGACCAGGAGTGAAACCTCTAATCCGGAAATTACTCTATTACACACGGGTTCTGTATGTTATAATGATCATATAAACAACCGATTGTGAGCTAATTACGACATTCCATGTGGTCAATGGTATGAAAATTGCCAGTGAAGTCTTCTACAGACATTACTGTGACGCGAAATATTTTTTTATTTTTCTTTTCATGTTTTCTTTCTCTTACACTCTTTTCCTCTCTTTTTAGCCGGGCTCATTGCTCGTAGAGCAATAGCCGGTTTTTGTTACGGTGTTCAACCGGAAATGCTGCTTCCTCACCGCCAAATTTACGAGTAAGAATATAGTACGTATGCAAGCTCCAGACAGCTCAGTATTACGTTACGCTACAACTCCATATCATTCGTAGGGAAAGTAGTCCCGGAGAATTGACACTGTATGGAGTTTGGTATGTATGCCCAATCACCTTTGAGGCAATACAATCACTAAATTAAACAAAGTAATATGACATTCTCAAAAAAAAAAAAAAAAAAAAAAAAAAAAAATTATGGTAAGCATACTTTCTCCCCTCTTCTCCGATTAATTATCTATTTAAAATATGCGAAGGGTTTTTATCAGGTCCCCCTGTCTGCGTCACATTCTATAAATAATTGAAGGTTGTGTTACTAGGCAAACACTAATGTCGGGAGCATGTGACCTGATGTACACTTTGATGCAAAACTCCCCGCTGAGGACCCATCTGTGCAGAAACGTTTGACCTTAATCTTGTTTCAATCAGTTTATTTACTTCCGTAAGTGGTATATACGACCCCAAAACGATACATGTGATAAATTGTTTACGCTGTTAAATTCTAGCTACATTTTATTAATATTTTTTTTTTTTTTTTTTTTTTTTTACATTTTTATATATATATACAATCTGTTACAGAGATATATTTTTTGTGTTACATTTTCTTCCAGTGTCTGAACTTGTTGTTATTCATCTGTTATTACAATATTTGAAAACTGTCTTTGTTCACTACTCTGTAACTGAGCCCGGCTCTCTGTACTTCTGAGTACTTTGATTTCTTATGGCATGTTTTCAGAATAAGTATCATAAAACCAAACATTTACACAGAATGAACTCCATTTGGTGTCAATACTCTGTGCCGGTACTCTGTTTTGATGGAAGTTAAAATATTATCAGTTAATTGTCAAGGTCTGGATGATGTTGCGAAGCGTAGAGGTGTTTTCCATTATTTAAAAACACTAAAATATAACTTATACTGTTTACAAGACACTCACTTCACATCTGAAATTGAGAACGAAGTGAGAAACTTGTGGGGTTATGAATGCGTTTTTAGTTCTTTTACAAGTAATTCCAGAGGTGTTGCATTTCTTGTAAATAACAACTTTGATTTCAAGGTCATATTTTGAAATTTTTCATATTATAAAAGCTTGTATCCAGGGTCATAAACTAGTAATTAATGTGCGGTGTACGGTCGAAATAATGATTCTCCTGATTTTTTTTGAAAATATCGAAACATATATAGAGGACATGAATTGTAGTAATGTCCCATGGCAAAGTGGAAGGCAGTTATTTAGCAGTTTCTTATCCTTAACAGTTTGAACTTTTTAGCAGTTCTGGAGCAGTTACTTAACCTTCCCTATACTGCTAATGGAGAAACAAATTGCTTTCAAACCTTTTGTAATCTATAAGCAGTTTTCTTAGCCTTACCAGTTCGTAACCAGTTCGCAGGCAGTTCACAGGCAGTTTCTTAGCAGTTCATAGGCAGTTTCTTAGCAGTTCATAGGCAGTTATTTAGGCAGTTTTTGCTAACTGCTAGTGGACTTCCATTAAACTATTATATAATGCTTATCTATTTCCCTTTTTCAACATAAATATTAATTTGTCAGGAGGACATTTCCTACACATGTATTATCCTGCCTGAAATAATATGCAACTATAATAGATCTACCTATATCAGAAATGCTTGTTACATTTTAATTTATTGTATCTTGTATAAAACAGTTAAACAATTAGAGATTGCTAAGATGAATGTTTAAAAAGTATCAAACACAGTGTTTTATGCACCTGTTATTATAATCAGTGTAACTAATAATTAATACATGTACCTTATTTACATACACTGTGATGTACAACCATGCAATTATACTCGCTGACTAGTGAGAAATCTTATATATCCCAGGGCATATAAATAATGTTCAACAAGATTCAACACAGCTGAAGGAATTAAAAGTCAAAAGTACAGCAAATATTCACTTCATCCAAAAACCACAAGGCCACAAATTAATAAATATATTGTACTTACCAATTGTTAAATGTCTACATCATTATTTCAATAAATCTAAAGCTTTGTGGCCAGCAGACTCCCTCTTCATGATGCTTTATAGCCTTTGTCCAACAATACAACATGGCAGCCAAAAATTGAATTTTGGCAGTCTGTTGTTGGGTTCCTGTTGTTTATATTTATTGATCATTGAGCCCAACATTAAAATTTCTCTTGAACCCAATCAAATTGTACAAGGAAACTGCTTACAAACTGCTTACAAAACTGCTTATGAAAACTGTCTTCTCAAGCATAGGCGACCAAGATATAACTGCCAGGGAAACTGATTACTGCTTAAAAACTGCTAAGGAAAACTGTTTAATCCAAAGGCACTAGCAGTCATAAAAGAACAGAAAAAGCCAAACTGCCCGAAACTATTTGAAAACTGCTTAAAATTTGCAAAACTGCTTTAGAACTGCCTAATAACTGCCTATATAGGCAGTTCATTTTTCCATGGGGTTATATGGTGCGGAGATTTTAACTTAGTGTTGAATCCAGAATTAGACTATTTTAATTACAAACAAGTAAACAATCCAAAGGCTAGAACTAAATTGTTAGACATCATGGAGGGCAATGGATATATAGACCATTTTAGACATCTTCATGAAAAAAAGATCGAAGGTATTCTTGGCGTAAGAAAAAACCTTTCAAACAGAGTCGACTTGATTTTTTTGTCATGTCAGAAACACTCCTGCCCTGCGTAAATAAATGTGACATTGAAACTAGCTATAGATCAGATTACTCCATGAATTCTTTGGTGTTGAAATTTTATGACTTTAAAAAAGGACAAGGTTTTTGGAAGTTTAATAACTCTCTATTAAGGGACAAAGAGTACTTTGATTGCATTAAAGAGGTTATCAATAATGTTAAAATGCAGTATGCTGTACCAGTTTATGAAAGAAAATATATAGATTCTCTTCAAGATAAAGATATATGTTTTACTATAAATGATCAATAATATTGTTTCTTGAAACTCTCTTAATGGAAATCAGGGGCAAAAGTATTTCATACTCTTCATACTTAAAAAAGAAAAATGATAATGCAGAAAAAAAGAAATTGAGAGAAGAAATAAAACACCTGTAGGAAAATCTTACAGATGAAAATGTTCTAGATTTAGAAAACAAAAAACAACAATTTGAAAGCTTAAGAAGACATAAATTACAAGGTATATGTGTAAAAAGTAGGGCACGATGGGTAGACGAAGGAGAAAAACCTACAAGATATTTCTGTTCCCTAGAATCTAGGAACTATACTAGTAAAATAATACCTATGCTAGAATTAGACACAGGAGAGATAATCCATGATCAAGCACAAATTTTAGAAGAAACAAATTCATTTTATGAGAAATTATATTCTGAATCTGTTTTAAGTCAAAATTTGAAAGAGTTTGAGTCTGATCTAAAAATTGAGGATACTCCAATGTTATCTAATGCAGAAGCTGAAGAATTAGAAGGAATTATTACTTTACAAGAGGCTTCTAGCACTCTAAGTAAAATGAAATTAGACAAATCACCAGGTTTTGATGGTTTTTCAACAGAATTTTTTAAAGTTTTTGGAAATACCTTGGACACTTTGTTGTCAGATCAATTAACTATGCATATGACAATAACCTACTGTCTACCACACAGAGACATGGTATAATAACACTTTTACTAAAGGGGGATAAGCCAAGACAGTTTCTCAAAAACTGGCAGCCAATAACACTCCTCAGTACTGTATCCAAAATTGCATCAGGTACTATAGCTAATAGGATAAAAATTAATCTTGACAAATTAATAAATAGCGATCAAACTGGTTTTATTTCCAATAGGTACATAGGAGAAAATACACGTTTGATTTATGATATTATGCAGTATACAGAAGAGGAAAATATACCAGGCTTGTTGCTATTGATTGACTTTGAGAAAGCTTTTGATACCATTTCATGGAAATTCATTCAGAACTCCCTGCAGTTTTTTAACTTTGTTCCCTCAATACAGAAATGGTTGAAATTGTTTTATACTAATATAAGTTCCACGATTAATCAGAGTGGTAACTTTTCACAAAGTTTTAACTTCAGAGAGGATGTAGACAAGGGGATCCTCTATCACCCTATATCTTTATCTTTTGTGCAGAAATTATAGAAATTCTGATAAGAAAAAATAAAAAAATCAAGGGAATAACTGTAAAGAACATGGAAAAGAAAATATCACAATTAGCAGATGATACTTCAATTCTGTTAGATGGTAGTAAAGAATCACTGACAGAAGTAATGAAAATATTAAAGAAATTTTCAGAAATGTCTGGTTTATATATCAATTGTTCAAAATCCCATGCAGTTTGGATTACGCAAGTAAGTTAAGGCACTGTGTAGGCGTGTCAATGTAAATGAATTATGACGTCACAAAGGATTTTGACGTGAAGCCACGCCCATGACTTACGAGTATAACAGATTCTTGAATAAGAAATTCTCTGTCGTATTATTGTCCAAATACGTATTTAAATATTTTTATTATTTTTTTTTTAAATAAATTTCTATCATTATGATATAAAAAAAATCGCTTGTGAATAAAACGGTGGAAAGTTTCTTTGTCGTCTGACTGGAAGTCAACGTCCCTGTAACGCTTGACAAAGCCTCGTGGAGCCCTGCGAGATGAAGAAGAATGACGGAAATAAGTGTGTTTTCACAAGCCTTAATGGACATGATGTATGCCTTGTCAAGAAAATTGTGACAGCTGTAAGAATGCAGGAGATGCAGTATATTAAAGAAATTCCATAGTAAAGGTATATATATAAATATTTTTGGTTTATTTGTTGTGAATGGGAAGAGCACATGGTGAATCTTGATAACGAGGCAGTTACGTATTTACAACTCTGTTTGCTCTATATGAGGTTAACAGCAAAAAAATATTGTTTTATTTACATAGAATAATGTTGCACATTTTATAAATGTGTAATTTCTGTAATTATATAAGTATCTAATATGTCTAAGCCTAATTAAAACCAACTGAAAACGGGATGTCGAGTATTACGTTGTATTACACTTGTATGTGTCACAAAATACACCATTTCATTTTCATGTTTGAGATGAAGCATGATTAGATTAGTCCATTGATATCTGACTATTCTAGTGATATAAAACATCTTTAAAATACTCAAATATCTAATGTTGACATGATTTGGTAAAGCATTTTTGAAGGCACGTGTTGAAATTGAAAACGAGGCAGAGAGTAAACAGTTGTTTTTCTTTAGACTTTGACAATGCTGAAAGAAAATAAAGAGCAAATGTAATAAACAAAATACTTCTTCCTAAGAGAGTCAATTATCATCAAAATTTAAATAAACTGATAAATTTCAGAATACTGTACAGGTGTAATAAATTCAACACAATTTGAATGACAACACAGGCACCCTAATGAACAGGTTGGGCACAGTTCCTTTTTCGGGGAAGTATTACTATAAAATGGGATTATTCATCTTTTCAGTAATAAAAAAAAACATTACTGTATATGGGAATTTTCACTCGTTTACCCTCTATTCTTGTGTTTGCTTTGAATAATGATTAAGTGCAAGAATATTTTCTCATTCTCTAAATATTTATAGTCTATTAAATGTATGTATGCTCAAACCTACAATATTTATCACTGCAAAAAGCTGAAAAAGAGTGATGAAATATTTCTACAATATAATTTTCTTACGGAAGCTTATCTGTGTTAAAATTGTGAGATTGAATACGTTCAGCACTCGCTAACTCGTTCATGAAATTATTCGTTCTAATTTCATTTATATCATTTCTTTCAAAGACATCGTTAAAATAATTTTTAATACCACTGCTTCTTTTACAGATGAATATACTTATTTGAAATACTAAATTTTAAAAGATTTTTAAAGATAGTCTTTCAAAGATGGTTTTAGAATGAATGCCCCTGTAAGATTCCATACTTTTTGTATCATTTATCAACTGTACAGGGAAAATTAAAGTAAAAGTCGTGGATTACTGCTGCACGTGAGGTTAAATTCCTATGCATGTTCAAAAGATGTCACTTCCACGAAACCAAGCTATGAAATTTTCCGTTTTGGAACAAATAATTATATACTTATAAGGGAAATATTCATATCCGTATGAAGAATACTCATGATGTTGTACGATTTAATATCATCTTACTCCTGTCTGCAGCACTAAAGAGCTGAATTTTTTTGTCAGCGAGGTTGGTTTAATGAAGTTTAAACACATCATATCATATTTTTCATGCACTTTTTATTTAATAAACAGATTTGGGGCATTATTTTAAAAATAAGACGAAAATTCCAGTATACAGTAATGTTTTTTATTACTGAAAAGAGGAATAATCCCGTTTTATAGTAATACTTTCTCGAAAAAGGAACTGTGCCCAACCTGGATGAATGAATGGCAAACTGTACAGTGTATATACTCCCACCGCACCTGTCTGAAAATTATTAGGCACAGAAACTGCGATACTCCAAAATAATTAAATAAATGAATTTCTAGGTAAACACACTTATATTCTGTATTTGATTTTTTCCATGTTAGTTAAGTTTTAAAGATTACTGTCTGTCTATGGTATATAAAAATGCTAATTTAAAAGGTAAGAAACAATTTTTTATAAACAATCAGGGGTCCCCGCTTTGAGAGAGATCGATTTTCAACGTAAATGCAGCATTACCATGTAGTGGAATTTATGCAAGAGGCAGCTCAGTGAGTTGATGTTTTACAAGCCTCATGTAAATATAACTGCCTTAATTTGTGTGCAACATTAATGAACTTTTAAACACGATATAGGGTTTTCAAACAAAGTGTACTCTATTTATTAGAGGTGTAACAATACAGCCGTACATCGATCATATTGATCACAAGGTCTCACTATATATACGCATATCGTAAGGCCATGCATGTATCGTGATACAGTACAAGTTAAAATTCATTGTCTTATTTGAAAATTCTACATGCAAACTAAGAAATTTTAATGTTACAAAATGATTGAAAACAAGGTAGCATCGAAAAAATGCAATGCTAAAACTGTAAGTACACCTATAATTAACTTTGGTTATTCTCAAGATAATCTTATATATTTTCTATAACTGTGGAGGTTAGCAAGCAAGAATATGTAAAGATATCAGTTAATTTAATTGTTGACAGCTGTATCATGATACATGTTGTATCGCATGACCATATCGTGATATGTATTGTATCGTTAGGTAGCTTGCGATACTCAGGCCTAGAGTTGCTAAATCATGAATTATGAATATTTAAAACTTTGCCAAATGTAAATTCAATCTTTACATTCTTGGGTTCAAAAGTTATAAGAAGTTGAAAGTTTATTACTGAAATGAGAATAAGATTGTCAGAGAGGACAAAAACAGTAACACCTCCACACATCTTCAGATTCGGGGTATGAAAAATAGCTCGTGTCAAGTGGGAGATTTCATTTGGGGAGGGGGGGGGGTTGGACTATTATACAATGAACATTTTAATAAAGTATTGTCTTGTACATTAGCAAAGAAATCATACATCTTGTTAAGTACTTGAATTTTTGTACATCAATCATAACTACTTCAGTACGATATGTGGAAATTTTCCACCTGAGTATGCCTTTCAACATTGACAGATACTTTGTAATATTTAGTACATGTAACTTCTTCACACGCATTGTCTTTCAGCGAAAACAGCCACTGTGTTTATCCAACACATCTTAGATGTTTTTTTATTAGCCTGTTTAGAACACATCTCTGCCTATGCACACTCAATTGTACTTTTCAGAAAAAAATTAAATTCTTTACTGTCTCATATCTATTTTCAAAAACTCAAATCTTATTAATGAAAGAAGTTTCACTTTTTGTGTACTTGTTGAAATTGATATTCAAGGTCTACCATCTTGTTAGGCCACTGCCAGGTGTCAAAAGAATTATCATCCTATATGCATGAAGAAATTGAATGAATGCATGTGCATATATTACAATGTCAGAAGTAAGGAAAGTATGATGATTTAATAATACACTCTTATGTTTTACATTATTGTCCATGAATTGTAGCACTATTCAATATTAAGTGCTGTCAATATATTGAATGCATAATTTGATAATCAGAAAATATAAAAGTAATAAGTATGAAGCATTCTTGAAAAATGATTATTAAAGCCTTTGCTGAGAATCAAAATCAGATCTGTGTTAACTCTGCTAATGAACAAGATCTAGCAAAATCTCTTCAATGCTTTTTAGGTGAACATTGTTCAGTCAATACATTTTGATTAGATACTTATGTTTTTTTTTAATACCATGCATGTATATTATTTTATATTATTATAAGTCCTAATTAAAAAAAATTAGGTTTTATGCTAAAAGGAATACATTTTCCTCTTGTGAGCATGGAATTTTAATTTCATTGAACTATTTAAATAATCTTTACTTTATCAAAAAATATTTTTATGTGAGAAAAGTAGATGATAGTATATGGGTTATATGTGAAACCATAAAATTACTGGGAAAAACTGGTGTCCAGTATTGATAATAAACACATTTATGAGATAAAGACAAATTCTTTCACTCTTATCTTTAGAAAAAGTAAATCCCCCAATGGCACAAGAGGGTTTCAGCATGTTTCTTAAGTAACTGAATTTCGTTCTTTTCAGTTCGGTCATTTGACATGTTGTGCAACATATTTTTCAATTCTCTTTGTCTTTTACTTATTTTAGTTTGAATTTTGGCCAGTGATTGATCCAAGGAGGCAGAGATAAACTTGTCTTTGGGATGACATTTAGACAAGCGCCTATACTTCTTGAAGTCTTCAACTTCAGGTGATGCTCCCAAGATCCTCTCCACCAGAGTTTCTGTGTTAAGAATTTGGCCTAAAATAAATCATGCAAATTAAAAAAAAATGTTTAATTAATGAAATTCAACATTCAACAGAGATATACACTTATATAATTTTTGAGAGGTAAAATTTCTTTTTATCATCTTTAGTACCATAATACTATAGAGGGTAAATCAACCTTTTATTTTATTTGAATAATGTTAATATTTTCAGAATACCACAGGCTTTGGTGGAGAGCTGCAAATTTTGACATATACTCAGCACCCAGGGCCATTGAACAGTGAGGGATTTTTTTCATGCCAGCACCTACTGCGACATGGGACCTCTGTTTATACAGTCTCATTGGAAGAACCGGTATCCACATCTCACAGGTGGATTCGAACCCACAACATAAGGTTCGCAACTCTAAAGCACTGTGCCATGTGGGCAACTCTTTAATCATGGAAATGAAGTTTGACAATACACATGGTATTTATTTAAAAAAAAAGTATATTTTATCAAATCAAATAAATACTGCGTAAGGTTTAAGCCCAAGGCATTCTATTATTTAGGGAATTTATTAAAGAGAAATAATTGTGTAATACCTCTGTCTTCATGGAACAATCTTTTTTTGCATTTCACTGATCCAAGTTTCAAATGATCTACAATGAAAGATTAGAGTAATGTATTATTTTGTTATCCCCCCACCCCCCCAATGGTCACGACAGGTAAATCTATGTGTTCTTGTAAAATCAAAAAAGAAAGGTTGGGAGGTTATAATAACTTACCTTCATTTAATGTTGAATTTTCATTTCTTCTTTTTCCCCCTGTGAACATATCACAGACTTATTAATTGAAAATGAAAATGTTTGATGAGTTCATAATGTTAAATTTGGAAGAAGTCTCCATGTATATTTTTTGGGGCCTCAAACTAGAATTTATATGCTCTTTCATTGGATAATGGAGATCACATGCTTTTGATCAATCTCATACAATGTGAATGGTTTGGCTTTGCCTTGCTTTCTTTGAGACTGTTCAATCTTATATACATCTGTAGGCAGTGTTTTTTTTTCTAAAACTACCACCCCTCCTTTTGAATTGGAAAAAATCACTGATATTTTTCCTCAACTTGGAGAAAAATCATTTACAGTAAATTAGAAAGATAAAAATTGCATAAAAGATTTGTGTTTGAGGTTTAGTTCAAATCTGATAAAACAAACCTTTTTTTTAATTAAAAAAATTAAAACATTAAATATATATTAGAATGGGAACATTGTTTATATTAGTCACACCTTGTATACATAGTATTATTTATTTTCTTGGAATTACTTATTGTTTAAATTAATTTAAAAAAAATAATCTGCCAGCTTTAGGACTCCCTATGTAGTAAACTGCTAGTGCACAGAACACCTCTACTGTTTGTGGTTTTCTGATTTTAGTAAAATCCTTTAGTTTTGGCTATTTCCTGTAATTAGCCTGACCCTGTATTAATAATGGCAAACTAAATTTGTCATCAAGGTTTGTATCTTGAAACGGTATAGCACTGTTGTATATTATATACATATCAGCTTGAAATGGATACTGTTTTACACATTTGTAAAATCTTATGTATATGCATGGGTTTGGAGAATAAAATCGAAGAAATGTATTTAAAGTTTGTCAGCCATGTTTAATATTTTACTGTTATTGCATTACATTTGAAATTGGGGAAAACAAATTTATAATTGGGTAAAAATACTCAATAATTTTTGTTATGGGAAACAGCCGAATATCGGTTGCATTTTGGCCCCCCAAAAATCACTAGTAGACAGGTACTACCTGAGTAACAAACCTAATAAGTAATACTGCTTGAAGAAAATTGTTCACATGAGATTAAGATTTGTAGAATGACTACTAGTATTGAATACCTGATTCAATTTTTTTATGAGTAACAATTGTTTTCAACCCCTTTCTCTTATTTTGTTGTAACAGCTGTTGCATTCCTGAAAATATATAAATAAAAATTATTTACAGCTTAAATTAATTTACATACCATATAAACAATAAATTATCATTTTGTAGATGTGGTATACCCAAGAGTATATTAATCCATTTATCCTGGTGCAGTACCCATCCTAGTGTATGTATATCTCAGAGTGAGTATAATCAACATACAAATAATCATAATCCTTGGTGACTATTTTAGCCAATTAGTCTTAAACCACACTGCACTGAGAAAATAGCTTAATAGTATTATTAATATTTGATTTCTGTATCAGCATGCTGGTTGTCGGACAGTGTCTTTATTTTCACACCATGATACTTTGAAAATATGTTCAGCATTCAGATATAAAAGGGAGTACCTTTTAAGATCAGTTTCTAAAAGACAAGGTCTTGAATCAACTGATAAAATGGTTAAATAAATACTCCTTTTCATTACCTGTATTATCAACATCTCTACTAGAGTGACAAATCTTGTCTTCTGCTGTGTCAGCCAATTTTGATTGAGACTTGTGATGTTGAACAAATGCAAATTTCTGTTGGTGGGGTTTCTTCATTAAAAAATCCTTCTTTGAAGGTTCGTGGTCATTTTCTTCTAAAATGTAAAAATTAAAGAGCGCACATGTACTAGGAAATGTTAAATTAAACAGTTTTTATCTCACCTGAACAAAAGGTCAAGTGAGCTTTTTTATTCAAGGATTGTCCATTTAATAAATCATCTGTTGTGTGGCTTATTTTGTCTGTTAACATTTCACATTTTCAATTTCTTCTTTAGAACCACTGAACTGAAATCAACCAAACTTGCCACAAAATATCCTTGGATATTAAGGGGGATTCAAGTTTGTTTAATAGAAGGACCACACCTTATTTCAAGGGGAGATAATTAAGAAAATACTAACATTTAAAGAACCAGAAAGGTGAAACTGATGTAAATGTAAAACAGAAATTAAACCTGAAAACTATTTTAAACTTTTACTAAAATGGGTATTAAAAATTATCTTTGAAATAATATACCACTAAAAGCTATCTCTTGCTGTGGGTTTGGCACCCTAGCGTTGCGTAAGTCAGCATCCTTTACTGGATGTGGACAAGAAATTGTTGCATTTCCAAACTGCACTTCAGCTGAAAGATACAAAAGTTTGTGGAAATAATTTGAATCAAGATTTTAGAAACATTAATCATGTTAATATGGGTAGTTAGTATTATCTCAAAAGTAATGTACCAGTAACAGCTATTTTTGGGTGTTGTTCTGACATCTTAACCTTTTCACAAGTGTGAAAGGCAGCATCCTCTGCTGGGATTGGATAAGAAATTCTGGCATGTTCATCTGGATGTGCAGCATCTAGTGAATGGGCATTTCCATAATGCACATCAGCTAAAAGATTTAAGAGTTCTTGAGTACATTTAGAATTTTTTATATATTGGCTTTTAGAAACTTTAATGTCTTACAATTGTACCATGTAATATTATACTTTTAATAAACTTCTTTAGGTTTGGATGGTGTTCATCTCCTGATGACAAGGGAACAATTGCATCTGTGATGTGGTGTGGCCTAACAGTCGCCAGCATACCTCCCAAATCTGCCTCATCTGAAACAAAAAAGTTACCTACCATTAATAAATTGGATCCTTTAAAGACAGTAAGTGTATAGAAAGTTGAAACCCATAAGAATATGGGTTAGGAATCTAGATAAATCTTACTAGTAAAAGCTATCTGTGGGAGTGGATTAGGTATCTCCTCTGGGAGTGGGTCAGGTATCTCCTCTGGGAGTGGGTTAGGTATCTCCTCTGGGGATGGATTAGGTATCTCCTCTGGGAGTGGGTCAGGTATCTCCTCTGGGAGTGGGTTAGGTATCTCCTCTGGGAGTGGGTCAGGCATCCCAACATTTTCATCAATGCATAAGTCAGTGTCCTCTTCTGGGTGTGAAAGTTTCGTATGTTCTTCTGTATATAGAGGATACAGTGGAGTTGCATTTTCCAAATGCACTTTAGCTGAAAAATGTAAAAGTTGTTAAGTATGGAAATTATTTTAATTGAACTAAATAAATTTAGTAAATTAATATGAGTATAATGTTCTAAGATATAATATACCGAGAACATCTATCTCTGGGTGTGGGTCTGATATCTTAACATTTTCTTCAGTGTAAGCATCCAAATTCAATGAAGTGTTATCTTCCAAATGCACTTCAGCTGAAAGATATTTAAAAGTTGTTGATAATGGAAATTATTTTAATTTAACTTTTAGGTATTATCTTACGACAAAAATTACCAGTAACAGCTATCTCTGGATGCTGGTCTGGCATCCCAGCATTTTCATCATTGTGCAAGTCAGCATTGGTCAATCTTTCATGTTCATTTGTACTGGAATGAGCAGCACTATGTGACTCTTTCCTTTCAGTGTCTGAAACATAAACCAGTAGAGCTACAGTCTAGTCAGACACTCCTGATTCTTATTTGTTGAAGTATTACTATATTCATTGCATAAAAGTGTTTCTTTCACTTCTAAACAATTTGTCTGAGTGAAAAATAATATTGTACCTTTCCCAGTGTTGTAGATTTTTTTCAGTTTTCCATTCTGTAATCTTTTTATCCTCTGGATTGGTAGCTGAAGTTCACCCTCTGTAAATTGTTGTACACATATCTCCCATTTTTCCTTTAGGTAATTTTGGACATCTGATGCCATAAATGTACGAAAATGTAAGATCTGAGGCAGAGAGTGCACTTCATTCGTTGGACAGTCATGGAAGATAATACTAGTGTCATCTTGGCTCCACCAAACATTTTCTCCAAGTTCCAAGTAATCAGCAATCCTTTCAAGATGGCTTTGAAATAGTGACATCCTGGCATTGATGAAGCTTTTTTTGAAAATTGTTGGACCTCTGGTTGGAAGGAATTTGGCCTGCTTACTAATGACGGAATCTTGATGCTGAAAGGAGTCTGGTTTGACTGGAGTATTTTGCTGGGCATTATATCTGATTATTGCATTTTTTAGAACATGTGCTGGTTTTCTGTCGCTGGTATTTAGGGAAATATTGCGCAAGGTTCCAAAGCTTCTTTCTTCATTTTCTGCAAGAATGGAGCGTAAGCAAAAGAGACGGTATATTTCAGGAGCATGTGTAACAAGACTATGAAAATGTGATCCATAGAACTTTCTGTTTGACATTTTGATTGGGTTTCCTATGACTGCTTTACAAAGGTGACCAAAAATGAATGTTTGGTTGTAGAGTCGCAGAATTTGTCGTGGATTTCTGGCATCTTCTTTGCTGTATGCAATTGAAATGATATCTGTCAAGGAATTGCATAAGTCAACAACCTGCTCACTGACTTTGCCCTCATCATGCTTTGTTTGTGTAAACTTTGTTAACTTTAATGCATATAATCTGGCATCAGACCCCCTGATTTGATTTCTATCCCCAATTGTGATATTGCTAAATATCTCATATTCTTTCTGTATTGATTTGTTTGATAGATGGTATGGAAGCTCCGTAATTAAATTGGTGACCATGTTTGAAAGATCATGAAGAGGCTCACACATTAAAACTTCATACTTCTCTAGATTTAGATCTTTTAGAGGATTTTGACTTTCTATACTTGTACAGAAGAGGGCAGGTGGCCTTTGTATTCCCTCCAAGTGTTCTGCAAGTTGTTTAGAAACGCTCTCTTTCCTTGTGTCCAAAATATCCAGCCTGCGCTCATCTAGCTCATCAATAATTTGTTGGACTTTGAGGTGTACAAATGGGTTCGGATTGGTTGAGATGTTAAAATTTTGCCACTGAATGCCATTTTTGAACAGGTCAAGTCTTGCTTGCAGTGATTTTGCAGGTTGTCTAAAGCAGCACTCTAAATTTTGATGACTGTCCACATGAACCCCACATAAACAACTGTAATGTCCTCCCCTTTGATGTCCCGATTCGAACTGTCGTGCAGGATTATCTCCACTGAACACACGGAACACATCTTGATATGGAGCATTTGTAGTTTTGCAGATTACTGGAGTGTTGATCTCCTTTAGGTCATCTGTCCTGGTTTTTACATATGTGAGCTGATCCTTATCCGAGCTACCGGATTGGCCAAGTATGTAAAGGTGAGGCTTTTCTACTATAGACTGAACATCATGTTTTTTGTAGGGAAACTTTTTTCTGAACTCCTCGTTGGAAAGAAAAACGGCAGGATCATAAATGCAAGAAACCATGAAATTAACATACGTATGATTTAGTATGTCTGAATGGTCGTGCCAGCACTTCCAATGTCTTGTTCTCTCTGTAGACTTAAGAAGGGTCAAGTTTTCAATGTGAGAACCAGTTTCATCTTTCCCTGAAACAGAAATTCTGCATTGAGTAGTTGTCTTGGAAAGAATTATATAGTAATACCATACTGCAGCAAGATGTGGGTACCCTAGAGTTATTAACGGCTTCATCAATTTATATTCTCATGTGAATGAAGTTAAAATGTCAAGACAAGATTATATTAGCATGTTAGCATGCAATGAATCTTAATAAAAGACAAAATTATTTACAAAGAGTTATTATACCCCTGCTCAGACAAGAGGGGGGTATACTGTTTTACCCTTGTGTGTATATTTGTCTGACAAATTTTCATTGCAGTTTTCTCAGCAACTACTTATCACAGATGCGGAAAATTTTAGCACACTCTTGTTTAGGCATGCCATGTAGTGAGATTCGTGTGAGCATATATATTTACATCAGAGAGGGGGTATTACAAGTGAGCATTGGCTCACAGACATCTTGTTCTTGATTTGTATGCAAAGAAATTTAATATTTATTGTATTCATTATCTTTTTAGGACATGTCATTGAAGGAATTGGAAGGATTTTGAAGAGGGGAATGTACTGAAGGGTATTGAAAAGTTCTGTCAATTTATATACATTTTATTACTTGTGAACATAAGCTGAAAAGCTTGTGCAAGTTTTCCTTGTTACAATTTGTCTTTTGTCTATCTGTCTGAATGTAAACTTTTTACATTTTTGACATTCACCAGAATCACTAGTAGCATTTTCTACTAAACTTGCCTCAAACCATCCTTGGTGAAAGGATGAGACACTATGTCGAAGGGAGATAATTAGGAATTGGTGAAAATTTAGTGGGATCTTTCAAAAATATCGACAATGAAGAATGACTGATCCAGAAATATATCTCAGGTTTATTCAAATCAGGGCATTGTAGGGTTGGGTGGGGCCACAATGGGAAATTCAAGTAATGTGTACTTTGAGTATATAGGAAAAATCTCCTGAAGAACAACAGGACTACATTGTTAATATATGCATCCTCAGGTAGTGAAAATTCAGTTTAGTTCGAAGAGTTTTACAAGGAGATTTGTAGGAACAAATCCTTTCAGTGATAAGAGAGCCACACTAATTCATATTAATAATGAAACATTCCAAAGTTGTGTGTGTGCAGTTTCTTCTCAAAATATAGGATAAGGGTGGGTTATTTGAACAGACTAAAGTTCCAGAATCTCGTCTTTCAGAACAACCGGGCAATATTCATATTGAAGCATCTCCATGTTTTGCTGTTTCAGCATTGGTTATATGTTGCCAAAGGTGACTTGGACAAGCATTGTGGTCAATTGGCCTTGTGTTGTTTAAGTAGGGTAGACTGACATGGAACAATTAATATTATTAAATGACTTTATCATATTGATTAAAAAGAAATCTGATAAGTTGCTTAAATGAATCTAACAGCCTGTTAGTGAGGTTTATTTTTCATATGGTGAATATCAGCAAAAGAATTTTGTTCATTATGATATTCCTTCAATTCATATGAGTAGAAATTATATTCATGATGTTAATTTCACTTTATATTTAAGAAGTATGGAGATGGACCTATTTTATGGGAAGCAAATCCATTGTGCCACCTGGATATTTTAACTTCTTGTGCTCATCTGCAGGGGTCATTTGCTCATCGAAAAATAAGGAAATTGTGATGTGGTGGAATATAGACATTGTCTGTAGGAAATCAAATAATGGATTGAACCCAGGTAATATATTCAATTATATTTTCAGATCAGTTGGTTGAAATTTGAATGTCATGATCATTTTTGCAGATCAGGGTGTTTTTCTGTTTGCTGGGTTCTCCTGTATTGGGTACCTAGCTAACCAAAAGAAGTCTTGGCTTGTGAACATGCTGTATGCCCTGCAGATAGCATTACATGTTACTAAAACTGAGCAAGTGTTTAAAGTAAAGAAAAAAAACATTTATGGAATGTTATTCATTACTTAGACAAATGCCTAAATTAGTTAATTAATATGTAATGTGTCTCTGCTTGGTCATATTATGGTATGGTGCTAAAAGTCTGTCTTATAGTCTTTCTGTATATCTGAACAATTTAATTCCCCAGACTTTTATTTGAGTTATGAAGTTTGACATTTAGGCCAAGGTAAATAAATAGTGTGTTTCTTATTCAGACCTGAGAAAAAAATAGGGAAAGTAGGTAGCACTATTGTGTATCCGTGCCGGTTGTGACATATTTGGATGAAGTGAAAATGGTGTAAAATGTACGAACGGTGAATTCTGTGTATCATTTCCCGGTTGATATTTCGGTAAATATTAAATTATTTATTCGTTTTTTATCAAAATTTAATAGACATTTTGGTTATCAAAATGATGTGTTTTAATTTTGTTTTTAGAGTGTATTTAAATTACTCATCAATGCGATTTTTTATTGAAGCACATGACATTCCTACCCATTTAGTAAATTTTCATTTGTGATTGTTAAAATCATACTTAATATATATACATGTATATTTAAAATCTGAAGTGAACAAAAGAAAGGAAAAACATTTTATGAATAAGGCATTGAAATTTTAATTTGTTTTCCTTACAAAAAAATGAATAAAAATGTGTTTCATTTTATGTACCCGTAGCAAATATATTACGGTTTGGATAATGAGAATGTTCTGGTTTGGATGCAAATTCAACATTTTGATTTTTCAGTTTGGACAGTCTACAATTTCTAAATCTTGTAGAACCATTTTGGTTGTTTAAGATGCACTTAAATGGAGAAAAATTTCATTCATGATAATGTAAGCACTAGTATCATTTAACTTTTTACAGACACGTACATGTAGGAAGCCGTTGACTGACTTTAAAGTTGATGACCCCCCTTCCCCTTTTCTCAAAAACCAGGCGTGGATCCAGGAATTTTTTCCGGGGGGGGGGGGGGGGATCCACCCCAGTCAAAAAATTTCCAGCCCAGTAAATTTCTTAAAATAGAAAAGGTAAAGTCCATTCCTAAACGTGAAAAACCCTATTTCATGGTGGGTCCACATTTTCTAGGGGGATCCAAAGTCATTTTTTATTTGCTTCAGCATATACATACTCTAACTCTGCAAATTCCAGGGGGTGGGGGGTCCAGATCCCCATTTCCCCTCTAGATCTGCCTATGATAATATACCTGTGTTTGAGAGGGTCTTCTTGCACATACATATGTATTACACAGCTTTACACTTCAGACCATTGATGGCTGTTTACTGTAGAGGTATAATTATTTTATTTTTACATTTTATTAGCAAAAAAGCTGATGTTTTTTCCTGGGGAAATCACTGTTAAAACATTTCTGATTAATGTGTATAGAATATGCATTTTGTCAAACACAAAAGTGATCAAGATTAGGATTTTTAATAGTGAAACAGAATTGTTTAATTCTGGAAAGATATAGGTGGATACATTTTTCAGGGAGCTCGTATATTTTAGGGTCGTCACACTATTTATTTATCTAGGCTTTATCTTAATGTTAGTCAGATGCAGAACAAATTGGTAAACTCGAAAGGAAGGGACTGTAGTCCCTATGCAAAAGCTTGTAAATATGTCACAATACTTAAGTTTTGATAGTTTACCATATTACTTTCTACCATATAGAGATGTTGTCAGTTGACAGTTTCTTTCCTGTTGTACTGTTCAAATCATGACACCCTTCTCCTTCCAACAGGGCTAGAGGTGGGTCGCAATAAGTGATCAGATTTTTACATAGTTGTAATATACAGGAAAATGTCTTTTAAAAATACACTTCTTAAGAATAGCACAAGCATAATTAGTCATATTAAGGGGTAAACCATCCTAAGATAGTATAGATTTATGTTATGATCCTAGGGGGGTGTAAGGTGGGTCCATAGTAAGAGATCAAAGTTTTACATAGGAAGTGTTACAGAGGAATATGTAGTGGAAATCTTTAAACATTTCCTCAAACACAGCAAAGTTGTGATTGGGCATATTTATATGGAAGCATCAAATTTGTGTACTTTCAAGTTTGTTCAAATCATGACTCCCTGGGTAGAGAAGGGACACAACAGGCAACCAAAGTTTTATTAGGAATATGTAAGAAAGATCATTAACAATCTTCTGAAAAACAACAAAATCATGATAAAATCATTAATATAGAAGCGTCTTTGAGTAGTGTAGATAAAGATTGTTAAAGTCGTGTCCTCTGGAGACAGGCTTGCAGGCCACAATAAAAGATAAAATTTGTAGGAAATAAATCTTATAAAATCATCAAATGTCAAAGAAATATGGAAGCATCCTCAGTTAGTCACTTGGTGATGTTCAAATCATACCCCCCCCTTTCCCTGTTCCCTTAGGAGTAGGTTTCGGAACACTTTTAAAGTTAAAACTTTTCAATACTGAACTACTAGCCAAAGAGCTTGTGTGAGTAAGGTAGCCCAAGGGTCTCTTGTCTTTACAATGAAGGGCCTTAGATCTCTTGTTCAAGATATCAACTTGAACTATTTTAATACATTTAATATTTTACCTACCATATTCATGCAGTTTCTTTATTACATCTGCAGGTGGAAGAGAGCTGTATTCCTCATCTGATGTACTCCTCAAGACTCCCAGCGTTTCCTGTTCGTTGAGTGATTGCTCCCTGATCTTAAGGAGAGTAAACTTCCGACCATATATCTCTTCCTGATTCACAACAAGCTCACCCGTGTTGTTTATTTTGTTGGTATCAAAAACTTTTGGGGCAATACAAATACCAATATCGTAGATACCATCGTTAATTTTTTGCTCTAGGGTTTTTCTGATTTTTTTGGCTGGTCTTTGATGAGGCACAGCTAGTCCACGTACTCTGAGGTACTTTCTCCTGACTCTTTGTATAATGTCCCTACCACTTACAATTTTTTGTGGATTGAATATCTGTGTTTTAATACCATTTTCAGAAGCAAACTGCTTGAGAATTTGACCAGCATTTGAAGGAAAAATTCCTGCCTTGTTAGTTATATTGTATTTTTTCCCTAATGCTGTCCAGTTCACATTTTCACCTTTGTTTTCTTTTAATTCAAGTAGAAAAGCTTTTTTGTTAAATGAGTACTTTTCAAACTTCCCATGGTGTTTTTTCTGTTTTTTCAAACCCAGTTTTATTTTGTTAGAATTTTTTTCAGCAGATTTTTTTGCAGATTCTGGAGTTTCAAAATACTTGTTCATTCTTTCTCTTTCGTATTGACTGTATGAACTACCCGTACACAAAAAATTGTCTACATCATTGTTTGGATTGAACAATGTGTCTTGCATTTTGTAGTTGTTTTCTTTAAGCTTTTTAACATTTTGTTTTTGTTTTTCTGTTGAATTTTCTTTTGGTTCTAGGTGGAATGTTTTTTCAACACATTCTTTCAAATCTACATCCAACTTCTGTTTTAATAAGGGATTTAAAGTGTTTAGGAACTTTTGAACTTTCTTGTTTGTTATTTCAGGGGAGGTAATTTTATCTGACATCATGGAATTGGTAACATTTGAGGACAATTTTTCAAACTGTATGGTCTCATTTGTAGCAGATGCGTGTAACCCAGATTCTGTTTGCTGGCATTTTTGACAATTGCATAGTTCATGAGATTTTCGTTCTGATTCAGAGAGCTGAAGCCAGGAGACTAAACTGTATGTTTCAATGAAAGATCTTTTTTCCCCAGATTTATTTGAATTTTTGAAAAATTTTGAACTGGTGAGATAGGTTTGAACTCGTGAGACTTTGCGATGAAACTGACTTTTACTGATGTACATTTTTGGATATTTATGCATGACTTGAGTATAGAATAGATATCTCTGATTTTCACTAATGGTGGTGTCATACTTTGGTACATTATTCTGCAGTTGGGGGCTGCCATTGACATAGTTGTTCCAGTAGTTAATAGCTGAAGAATCTTTTGAGGATCTACCAATAATTACTTTTGCGAAGTGACAGAGGTTCATGATGAAAAGTTGATAAATGACTTACAGATGATATTGCATACTGCCAGGAATGTTTATGGTTGCCAAAGAATTTTAGGTTGAAGAATAACCATTCTTCTCATTGATTCCGTCTAAAGGTCATTGGTAGAAGCATGCCTTGGAATTTATAGTCTCAAAAAAAGTTCTTATTATTATTTAAATGTATTTTCATATTTTTGGTTTTTTGTAATTGATTTATAAATACTGATGAATTTTATAAAGATGAATAAATTATTTTTAAAAATGTATTTGTGCGTTAAATTATGTGTGTAACATTATTTAATAAAAGGTGAATCTTGCTGCTGCTCAATTAAGTCAGCTGAATATGAACATTTGTATACCTCAATTTATAATGAAAAAATATTGACAATTTAAAAGGTTTATTATAATACTGATAGCTTGTGAAAGAAAATGATTTTTGCATAGAGAGTAAACTCTGGAGATGAAACGAGTAATGAATGGCTAACTTAGCGGGAATGGTGAAGAGTTCATTTACCTATAATGTAAAGAGCCAATGAAGTTAAAACTATGATTTAAGAAAAAAAGTTTATATGTATTCCAGTAAAGTGTATCTTATCGCTTTTTGTCTTAGATATACGAAATCGTGTTTAAATTTCCCGCATATATTACTTCCCCTGTTTCGTCTAATAATAGATTTAATCCAGATCATTAGTGCGTTTGTATTGTTTGTAGAAAGTCAAAAATCTCGGACAGCAGAAATAAAACGGAATGGCGCAAGGGCATACCCTATCTAATTTTTTTAAAATTTGACATTTATTGATAGTCAATTTAATGCTGTAAATGGAAAATGCTGCGCAAATGTTGAGAGTAACGGGATTAACTAACTGGAGGTAGGTAAACGAGAAAAGTCTATGATTTTTGTGTTGTTGTACGTGTTTATGTCCGAATTTCATATATTTTGAAACAAAGAAAATGATTTGCGCAGCAAAGGTGTGTTAAAGCAAAGCTATTTGAATATATCGGTGCAAAGATTTAGTTTTTTTATGTCCAGTATGCCCTTGCGCCAGTCTGTTTTTTGCCTGAGAAGTTGGTTTCATTCATCTGGGCAAGGTGACGTCAGGTGACTAGTGACGTCATAAGTAAACATGTGTAGGAAAAGTAGACCTCTAGTACTTCATAGTAGATAAACAATTTCTTTTATTTCTTGTTAATTGAATTTAAAAAAAGACAATAGTATCATGATGAAAAATCCTTTATTTCTTCACATTAATTCATAGAACTGGCCTTAACTCACATGTGTAGTTCCAAAAAATATAGTCAAGAAATATTAAGTCATGAGTATAATCTTAAGTGGGGATGTACAAGATTTACCTTACTTGGAATTCATTATGATGTTGATTTAAGTGAAATTGAAAGATTCAATTATGAACCCAAATTAAGACAAATGAAAGCCACTATTAGCCAGTGGAGTAAGAGATATTTGACACCTATTGGGAAGATAACTGTTCTTAAAACTCTTGTTCTACCTCTTTTAAATCATATACTAATGGCTATTCCCAACCCATCAGAAAACTTTTGGAAGGAACTTGAAAAATTATTTTTTTCATTTGTATGGAATGGTTTACATCACAGAGTGAGGAAAGATGTCTTAGTGAAAAAATATTAGAGAAGGTGGACTAAAAATGATAAATCTTAAAGCTTTCACTGCATCACTTAAATTATTTTGGATGAGACAGCTCACTCTGTCAGATAAAGGTTTACAAAACTTTTTACCTAATATTGATTTGATAAAAATATTAACATGTGGCATTAAATATATTTAAACTATCATGAAGAATTTGAAAAACAAGTTTTGGAAAGATGTCTTTGAGGCTTGGACTGTTTTAAATGTTAAATATTCTATTGACTGTAAGGTTTTAGGAGACGTACCGATTTTTTATAATCCTAAAATTGTCATTGGTGAGAAAGCTATTTATAATAAGAATATGTATGACCTGGATATTAGATTTATAAATGATCTTATAGATGATAATGGTTTCTTTTACAGTTATGAGGGTTTTTGTGATATATATCCAAAAATGTTAAGCTCAACTTCTTAGAATTTGCAGGTATAATACATGCTGTAAAAGCATGGATGAAAGCAATGAGCATTAATGATATTATTGCAAAATTACCAAACCCATTAATTTTGTCTAGGACTCATATTCTTTCAAAGTGTAAGAAAGCAAAACAGTTTTATGAAATAATCAATGTTAATGATATTGAACCCACTGGGAAAACAAGATGGAATGATATTTTTGATTTGGGGAAAAATGAATGGAAGATGATTTTTAAACTTCCTTTTAAAATTACAAAAAAAATAGTAAACTTCAATGGTTTCAATATAGAATTTTAAACAAAATACTTGGTACAAACTCCTATCTATATAGAATTAGGAAAAGAGATGATAAATTATGTTCTTTTTGCAATGTGGAAGAAGAAACAATAATACATGTTCTATGGGAATGTGATAATGTACAAACTTTTCTTAACAGTCTTGAAGTATATTGTGAGCAAAAGATACGGCTGCAACTTTCAATCACAAAGCAAGGTTTTATTTTGGGGTTTCTAGGAAAAAAACAAAGATATTCATAACTGGTTGGCCTTGTGGATAAAATACTACATTTATACAATGAGATGTTTAGGAAAAAAATTAGATGTCAGACCTGCAACTTCACATATTAAACTTTTTTATAAAACTCAGAAATATTTATCATACAAAAATGGAGACAAAGAGGTATTTAAGGGGGCCGACTGGGGTTCTTATTGCGCAATACTTCGCGCAGCACAGTAAAATAAAGCGTATTTACTCTTTTAAAGCAACTATTTTTACATAATTTATAAAAATTAACAAGATTAGGAAATCTCAGGTTAAAAAATCTGATTTATACGTTTTTAAATAACTGATTTTTTAAAGGATTTTTCAAATGATGGGTAAATAGATGTCGTAATAGTGTGTTTTTGACGTTATGAATAACCAAAGTTCTCTATGAGGGGTCATTTCTATGAGGGGTCATTTCTTATGTCATAAAATAAAATGTATAAAATAAAATAGATGTTCTTGAAATCGAGAATTTCAATTGAGAATTTCACAATCATTTTTTTATTTTTTATATAAATCTGTGGTATCTGTCATGTTTTGTAGTACTCCATAAAAACGGTGAAATATCATGAATTTTGACATTTTGAGATGCCCCCTCTGGAAACCAGACGGTAGAATTTTGTGTTTCTTGCATAAAATGTACAATATAGTATTACTCATCAAATAATATAATTTGAGCAAGAAGTCTATAGTAGCATTTGCATAATTTGCTCCGAAGTGCGAAAAAATAATATTTTCCTATATAATTCTATAGTAAATGTACCTGTATTTTGAGATGGTACCTTAAAAATAATCAGACGGTAGATTTTCACTAAACTTGGCATGCATACTGAAGTCAATAAAGGGAAAATATGGTATAAAACTAAAGAGTTTCTCTATAGTAGTTTTCACACAATAAAACCCCAGTCGGCTCCCTCAACACCAACTGGAATCAATGGAATCAATTGCTTTTATAAATCTGTTTTGTTAAAGATAAGAATCAGTCTTATTCATGTATTAAATGAAAATTGAAATACATGATAATATGCCAACTCTCTCTCTCTCTCTCTCCCTCTCTCTCTCTCTTAAAAACCACAGTCTGAAAAATGTTAAACTTTGTATTATATCATATCTCTCTCTCCCCTTCCTCCTCCTCTCTCTCTTAAAAACCACAGTCTGTAAAAATGTTAAACTGTGTATTATATTATGATATAACAGATTGTGTATTAAATAAAGAATTAAAAAAAATCAAATTTATAAGCATATAGTAATTAACGGATTTAATAGGATCTATGAGGGTACCTGTATCACAAGTGCATCAGGTTCTTTATGGGTTATAACCCATGTATAATATTTATTGGATCTACAGCTTTTCAAAACTGTATGATCCTCATGTGAAGATTGAAGATTGCCAAGGGCACTAAGCATTACAGTATTTTGAGAAAATATATATCTTTTGCTTCTTCAATTGACCAGGGACTTTTCTTCCACCCCACTTATGTGTTTTGAATGGTAAATTTACAGCAGAAAATTAGTAGTTCCTTGAAAATGAGAATTATGACATATTTTTTTCTGAAATTGTACTCTAAAAAGATTACACTCTATAAAGTATCTGAAATGAGTGATATTTGTTACCACTGTAGTATTTATATATACAATGTATTTGAATGTAACCAGGTAATTATTAATAATAAGTCTGATTTTTTAAAGGATGTTAGACCACACCATGTGCCAATTCAAAGGAGTATGACTGAACAACTTGCAGATCTTACAACAAACATGACCAGTGCCAGTGATGATGTGATGGAACCAATGGAGGTAATCATTAAACTATCAGAGTCATGAAACTTGAAAATGTTTACAGAAACCGTAAAAATTAATTCAAATACCCTGGGTAGGATATATGTTTCTGTTTCATTAAATAAATATATGTATTACAATGACAATTTTAGATATGTGTACTACATTGACAATTGTAAATATATATATTACAATTTCAATTTTCAGCTTAACAATGTTGTCCTAGAGGAAGTTGAACTGGATATGCATGAGGTATGTCTTTAAATTTACCTCAGCCAAAGGCTCAACTGAGCTTTCCTGATTAAAATTTGTCTGTTGTCTGTAATATTGTTGTCATAAATTAAACTTTTCACTTTTATCTTGTTAGTCAGAAACACTTTGCAGATTTAAACCAAATCAACTAACATGCCACAGAGTATCCTTGGGTTCAGTGAAAAGTGAATTTAATTAATTCCCTTTATTTCAAAGTAATTTTGGTTAGAGATAGGCTTTGGGATAAGATTTATGCTTGAATCTTTGTGGACTTTAGAACAATTTAATTTTGATTTTTTATTTTTAAGCTGAATTATTTTTTCCCCAATTTAAGTGGTCAAAATGATCAGACAAGCTCTTTTACAAGGGGAGATAAACAAAATATTTGGTAGGGTATTTAAATATCTCAAGAATCACTTAACTCAGAAAAGATGAGACTTATTTGAAAACTTTCAAAAATGTGTAAGTTTATGGCTTCAGAGGTTGTGTGGGGCCATAGAAGGAGATCAAAATTATACATGGGAATATATAGAGGAAAAAAATGTTTAAAATTAGTTTTATCTATAGATTTAGCAGCAGGGCCATAATTAATCATATTCATATATGGAATCACCCAATCCCAAACAAATTCAGCATTACACCAGATGAAGTGGAAGAACAGCTTTCTAGCATAAAATTTTCCAAAGAAAATAACAGCGTACACCCAGTTATGAGATTCTTTTATATAGAAGCTTTCTATCCGACCATCAACAATGAGTAAAAATTAAAGACAAGAGGCCCAAGGGCCTTAACAGTCACCTGAGTGTAATACAACAATTTAGAGGATCCATAAGGGTGATCAGGATCAACAAAATAATTAGTCTAGTATTCATTAACACCTCATAAATTATGTTCTTATCTGTTCCCCATTTATCACTATCACCATACAGTATATTAACAAACTATAAGTGCTTTTGTACTATTTTAATCTCGTGTTGAAATTTCTTACATTGGCCACACTTGGTCTTTGTCAGATGAACATTTACTAAGACAAGTTATTTTTGCCTCATTTTATTTATCTATTACTCACAAGTCTACCTGATCATTAAAACTATGAAGGTACTTTTTGTATTATACAATAGAAATTCTTGCATAATTCTCTTATTCTATTAACCTTTCAAGTACATTATTTACAGTGATTAATTATTAAAGGTATATGGCAAAGGGGAATAACTCCTCTCAGTAGGATACAAATTAATAGAGCCCTGGCCAGGACCAGAACACCAGAGCCTCTGACCCTGGGACCAGAAGTTTGCTCATCATAAGTCATCACTTTGTTTATCTGCTTAACACTAAGGAGCAGACAGGATTATTTAATAGAATTAATGCATTTTCAGTATATTATCAAGAGCCCCACCCTTAAACCAGCACATCTGATGCAGGGGTCATAAAATTCACTACTCTGGAAGAAGCACTCTTGCTCATTATAACTATACACTTAGCTTCTTTGCTTTTTAACCAGAAGCAGAAAAGAATGTTTTCAAAGAAATTTTGCTTTTTCACTATATAATCAAAAGAGCCCCAGGTGACCTAATAAAAAAATATGAATGGTTTGAAATTAATGGAGGAGAGCATCAATGAACATTGTGCAGCCCAGAATTATTCAACCACATGGTGTCCAACCTTTAAACAAGTACTGTTCCATATGTTAAGTATGTTGATGATACAACCTTTGCTGAAATACGTTTAAAAGGAGCACCGTCAGAGTTACAACAGCAGATAAGATCATAGAGTGGTCCAAGAATAATCAACTCTAAAAATAAAAACAAAAACAAAAGAACTAATGAACTCATTTAGTAAGAAGCAGGAGATTTCTCATTTGTTCATTTAGGGTTAAGAAATAGAATGAGTAAATGAAACCAAATTATTTGGCATAATGAATAGCGACACCTGAAGCGGGATGCACATGTAAAATACATTGTAGAAAAGCCTCTAAATGACTTTTCTAACCTTTGCCAATTAAAACTTGCAGGCTTAAGTGAAATTGAATTAATTCAAGTGTATTGTTAAAGCACTCATAACTGAGACCTGAGTACCAGTCTGTGGGTATGTGTGCCCTGCGTGGTCAACTCACTTGCCGAAACACCTTATCGACAATATTAAATCTATTCAGAAAAGGGCTAAGAAATAATCAAACTAAGTGGCTTTGAAGCTGCCTTTAAAGATCTTCATGTAGAACTCTTCAAGACCTGAAATTCTTTCCCTGTCCTTCTTCAAGTATTTAGGAAATTGCTCAGACCAATTACATTGCCTTTTACCAGCATCTAGTGGAAATATGTCCTTCGAAAACAGCCCGCTTACAGAATACCTAATTACAAGACCAATCAACACGAAAACAATTTTATTCCATGATGTGCCAAAAAAAAAAAAACAAAAACAAAAACTAAACAAGCATTAATAGTCAGTGTGCAATAACTTTTTAGATGTAAATTATTTTTTAATATTTCAAAATATCTTATCTTTTAAAATTTCAGTATATCTACAAAAATTTTAGTGTGAATAATTTTATGTGTTTCTTATATAATTTATTAATTATTTTACAATATATTGATCCACATAAAAATTTTATCTTTAAACTGTGATTATGTACTTTCAACTGTCTAGTTGCCAAATAAATTATTATTATAAAATATAGATTCAAGTTTTTCTAAATCAAAACCCATCAGGGTAGGTTGGGGTAGGGCCAAATTAGGCAATCATCTTCTGACCAGTACTGTACTGTATTTAACTTTGTTCAAATCATTGAGTTTAGGAGGGGTCAAAGTTTAATTTGGAAATATTAAGGGGAAAATATTAAGGCATTCAAAGTTTAGAATTTTTCACTCATATGGAGATGCCACTATTTGCCAGTGAATGGATTCAAATTTAGACTTGTACTTGTCACTCAGGTCTGTTGAGCAGTAATGGATCTTTCTCGTGCCAATATCTATTGTGACAAGGGAGCTCAGTTTATCCAAAAGACCGGTCTATACACCCCGCAGTGGGATTTGAGCCTGCAACTCTGTGACTCTAGAGCAAAAGTTTTGATCACTTCACATTGCAGGCAATTGAGATATATTAGTGGATCTGTGATTTATGTCCTTATTCTTTAACTTGAATGCTCTTTGAGTAGTCTCACTCTTTTTTGGAATCAATAAAAATAAATTGAACAAGAGCACTGCAAAGCAGAGCATCCCCTCACAAAAAACAGATTGATCCTGATAGAGAGGGGATAAGAAACTGTCAGCTAAAAAAATTCTTTTTAATATAGTATTTCTATTCCTATAATCCTTAAATACATACATCTTTTTCACAAAGATTTATTGACCTTCTTAATATACATGTATGATTTCTTTTTCTTTATTGATTTTTCCCACCAAGAGATTATGATAACTATACATGAATATTTTTGGTATGTAACAAAGAAATCCAAAATCAAATATTTGAGCAATGTTTCATCTGACCTTCAGTTTATCCATTATCTAAAGGTATTTCATTGAAACCAGTACAATCTGAGCAGAATACAGTTCCTTAAATTTTGCCTAACATGCAACTGAAATGCTCATGTAATTTACATTGACATTGGTTTCTTTCAGGCTGAGAACTTTAATAAAATCTTGAAATCATACAGTGATTCTGATGTAGAGTTTGAGGAACAAAATAGATATTTAGCATCTTTTGGATTGCAATGGAATGCAATTGTAGGAGATGGTAATTGCCTTTTCCGCTCCATCAGTTTTTCTTTGTATGGTCATCAAGACAACCACCTCCATCTCAGAAATCTCGCAGTGGACACACTTAGAGGTAATATGGTTTTTTTTCAAAACTATTTTCTTCAGGACACAGGTACACCAGAAGAGCAAATCAGTAATTTAGGTCAACCTAACAGTTATGCAGGACAGGAGTGCATATTAGCACTATCTATGGCGTTAAATATAAATATTCTTGTAACTCTTGGTGGTGATGTGCCGAATAACCAGGTCTCCACTTATGAAAATACTTTTTCGCAAGGTCAACCACAACAAACCATTCATATTGCATGGCGAAGAGCAGGGGGCGGTCATTATGAAGCTGTGACAGAAATAGATAATGAGAATCCAGAAGTAGATAGGTCAGATCCCATTGTCATAGGTCAGGATCATAGCAATACAAGGCCATGGCTCACTGAATTCTCAAAGCCTATCAATATGGAGAATTTCAAGATCGTGCCCCCTCAGTCTCTAATATCTACACTACATTCTCATGTAAAATCTGAGGAGGCAAGTGTAAATCTTCAGGCACAGAAGAAAACTGGTGCAAAAATATGCCCAAAATGTAAAGTTACATTTAAAAAGTCAGTGAACTTAAAAAGTCATATTAAAAAATTCCACTCATCTCCTATTTCATCTCTTTCAGAAAACACCAAATGTAAACTTCAGCCCTGCATGATATCCTCATGTTCAATGAAGTTTCGAACCATAGATCAACTTTTGGAGCATGCTATAAATGCACATGATGCAAATATAAAAGTCGAACATCTTACCTTTGAAAGTTTCGCTATCTTTTCAGATTTTCGCAATAAAGAAGAGATGTCATCTAATTCAAGATTTGTAAGGAGGTCAAGGTCACAAGTAAATAAGAAAGGAGGAAAAACCTACTCCTTAGTTTGCCATCGTAATGGGCCTGTTTTACCCCACAGAGCAAAAGGAGTCCAGCCCAAGACACCCAGAAAGAACAATAAAGGGCATTGTCAGATCAACAGTTTATGCCCTGCACGTATGTCTGTTAGTGAGATGGGAGATGGTAAAGTTATGGTAAAGTATGTAAAGTCTCACACTCACTCACTGTCATTTGAACAAACAAAATATTTACCAATTCCAGATAGCTTAAAGTCAGAAATTCTCAACATGCTTGCCCTCAAAATTCCTATCAACTGTATAAGAGACAAAGTACGTGAACATTTTAGTGATAGAGGTAACAGGGATAATTTAGAGGAACTAAAATACTACCATCTTATTGACAGAAAGAAAATTCATAGTTTAAAAACAAAACTTGCAGATCCAGCCATTATTCAAGATAGTAATGATGCTATATCAACTTCTTTAAAGGTGGAAGCCCTGCGAAAAGAGTTCTTTAATCCAGTCCTGATATTTAAACAACAGGGAATTGAAGATCCTTCCAAGAAGCTGGACAAAGAGGACTTTATTTTAGCTACGATGACAAAAGAACAATTGAATATGTACAAATTATTTGCAAGTAGAATTTTATGTATGGATTCAATCCTCAAGACAAATAGTTACTCTTTTAAGCTCTTAACTCTGATGGTACCTGATGAATTTCTCAAAGGTTATCCGGTTGCATTCTGCATATCAGAGAGGATGAAACAACAATGTCTCTCTTTCTGTCTTCAGTTAAAAACCTGTCCCCTGAAACCAAAGTCAAGGTTATAATGACTGATGATGATAATGCAGGATGGAATGCTGCACAGTCAGTCTACGGATCTGATTTAAAACATTTCCTCTGTATGTGGCATATTCAAAGGTAATGGATTAAAAATATCCATAATCATTTTAGAAATGATATGCAGAAGACAGAGATGTATTGTTACCTTTGTGCTTTGTTGCAGGCAAAATCAGAAAATGACTTTATTAAATACAAAGATGCATTGGTTTCTAAACTTCACAGCTTAAATCCCAATTTCTTAAAGTATCTTAATGATCATTACTTTAATCGCCCCGAAAAATGGTCATTGTGCTATAGGAAAGGAACTGAGTATGGCAATGTTAATACCAATATGTTTGTAGAAAGTTTTCATAACCGGTTGAAAACTATTTACTTCTCAGGAAAGCGCAATAGAAGAATAGATGTGCTATTGGACACCTCACCTTGTTGAAGATAGAAAATGATCATTTTATTAGACATTTACAACGTTTCTCTTATAATAATCCTTCAGATGAAGATTTACGTATTATAGATAGGCATTGAAAAGGTTTAGAAATAGATAATACTAAGGTCAAACAAATTACCAGCTCTGTCTTTTAATTAGAGTCTGGACCTGAAAACTATGTAATAGAGGCCATACTGAGTGATTGTTCTCAAGAACACTGCTACAATAACAATAAGTGTAAAATCTTGCCTTGCATAAATTTATGTTATCATATGTATAAATGTAGCTGCAATGATTACCACAATGGTCATATCTGTAAACATATTCACAAGATTCACTCTCTCTCCAGGAACATAGAAACTCAAGAGGACGATTGTATAGAAAACTAGAAACTCATTGCGAGCAATGAGAGGTCTTCCGTCCGATTCTGAAAATATAAAAACGAAAATTAAAGCTGAAAAAGTGATAAAAGAAATTCAGACACTGGAGATTTAACCCTGGTTTTCAGAGTGAAAATCCAACGTGCTAACTATTAAGCATTCATTTTTTTGCATCACTTCCTGTCACGACCGGGAATAACGGCGATACAAGATTTTCTCACGAATCAAATAAACTAATGATTGACTATCAGTCCTGAAAATTTTAGACTTCAGTCGTTTATTGTTGCCGAGCAATATTGTGAGAACAAATTCTAATTTTGAGGACAGGTAAACATGCGACCGGAAGTGAATTTTATAAAAATCTCTGACTTTTCTCGAGACATTTGCAGTATCTACAACATACATAAATTATTTCAATTACTTTATCGATAAGCAATATTTATGAGAAAAATAAATATAAAAATAACGTAGTTTATCTCCTAAAACCGGAAGTTGACGTTTTTGTTTCCGGTGGAATCTAACATATTTCAAAGCAGCGAAAGAGATGCAATAAAGTGATGAAAGTTTTAATTCAAAAAAGAAAAGTTAAAATTTTTGATTTCTTTGAACACTTCCTGTGACAAGCGGAAGTGACGACTGACGCGTTTAACCCAAATGGTTTCGCCTACTCCTCAAGATCTATTATTCATAAAAGTTTGGTGTTTCAATCTTATACCTGTTTTTGAGATCACGCTCAGGCAACTTCTCATTTTGAGGACAGGAAAACACGCGACCGGAAGTGAATTTTCGAAAGATATTTCAGATTACTCTAGACATTTGCACTCTGAATAACATATTTAAAATTCATTTTAAATACTTTATCTTTAAAGAATATTTATAGGAATTATGTAGTTTTTCTCTTATAACCGGAAGTTGACGTTTTTGTTTCCGGTGGGACCAACATCTTTCAAATCTGCAAAAAAGATGCAATAAAGTGATATAATTTTTAATTAAAAAAGAAAAGTGCAAATTTTCGATTTCATTGATCACTTCCTGTGACGACCGGAAGTGACGGCTGACGCTCTTAACCCAAATGGTTTTGCCTACATCTTAAGGTCTGTTGCTCATATAAGTTTGGTGTCATAATCTCTTACCGTTTCCGAGATCTTGCTCACACAACTTCTCATTTTGAGGACAGAAAAACACGCGACCGGAAGTGAGTTTTACAAAGATATTTGACTTTACTCTAGACATTTGCAGTCTAAATAACATATTCAAAATTCATTTCAAATACTTTATCTACAAAAGATATTAATGGGAAAGAAAAATACTCAAATTATGTAGTTTTCTCTTATAACCGGAAGTTGACGTTTTTGTTTCCGGTGGGACCAACATATTTCGAAACTACAAAAGAGATGCAATAAAGGGATTTAAGTATTGATTTGAAAAAGGAAAGTTGAAATTTTACGATTTCTTTGATCACTTCCGTTAGCAAGTGCCGACGACGAACGAAAAGTTGCGACCCAGCTAGTATCTATCACGATCTATAATCCCTGAAAGTCTGACATTGATATCTCTTGTCGTTCTTGAGATTATCCGCGGACAAAATGTCCTTTTGAAATCAGAAAATGGTCTGTGACTTGGCACCGGAAGTTAATTTCCAAATTTTCTCTCAGATATTATAAATTCATGTTACAACACATAATTCCTGAAAATTTCATGCAAATCCATTAAATAGTCTTCGAGAAATCGCGTGCACAAAATTAGAATGTCAAAAAAATAAGAAGAAGAAGAAGAAGAAACAGTAGAATCACTATAAGGTCTTCCGCGAAGACGGAAGACCTTAAGTAGAAACTCATTGCAAGCAATGAGAGGTCTTCCGTCCGATTTTCAAAATAAAAATATAAATTCAAGCTAAAAGTGAAAAAAATTCTGACATTGTAGATTTAACCCTGGTCGTCAGCGTGAAAATCCAACGTGCTAATCATTACGCCATTTCAACTCCCGATTTTTAAATTCCCTTTCGGAAGCGACCGGAACTAACGACGGCGCATTAAAAGGTCCCTTCGCCAATCTAGAAATCATGTTCTATCATCTCTAACAAAAAAAAAAAAAAAACACTCAACATCATTTATAAAGTTGAAAACAAAAATTTAAGCAAACAAATTCGGGATTAAACCCAGATCGCCTTCGTGAAAACTCAATATGGAAGCCACTACACCAGCGCAATTTTACCAGCCATCATCGAGGTATACTTTGTATCGTTGCCTGAAGTAACTAGCGTCAGGGAGGTTAAAAGTTATATAGTGCGGAATTATAGAATGAGAGCTAGCCAGCCAAATTTTGTGCAAGCAGATTCACATCGGAATTCGTTACTTGAGTTGAAACATTAACAAATAATCTATTACTGATGAACTGATGATACTGTTTACTTCCTTTATTCTTTGTGTATTCAACTTTTTATTCCATGCAATTCCATATACCTGTATTTCATACAAACGTGTCTGTGTAATCTTTTTCTGTACTTCTGCATCAGACCAGTTTTCTAATATGAAAGAAGAGTCACGATACATTACGTCAGGAGTAAATCTTCGCGCCTTTCCTTTGAAATGTATGTTCTATTGAATGGTCTCCATTCTCATATATATTATTGTATGTACCGTACAAATTACTCATTTTATTGCATTTCGAGCTCAGAGCATTTATGTTTTCAAAGACAGATTATCCAATTCATAATCTGAAAGACCCAACAATTCCTTCATATTTCATTGATCCTTATGGTAGTTTCGTTCAACAAGACGCTCGGATGTCTCCGTAAACTCCAACCTGCCAATCGGCAATCCTCGACTGACTCCGCTACGCTCTATACAAACCTCAGAAGTGATTGGTGGAGAAATATGCATCAAATCGATTACATTTCTCCGCCGGAAACTGCCTTGTAACTCATTTCATATTTTACTCTGCATAAAGTTCTTCAAACATTTTTTTCTCTTGTCTAATTCTTCCTTGGATATGAAAGCAAACCATAGAGTTGGGCGTGCTTGAAAGTAACTCAGACTTCAAAGGTATAACATTTGGAGGAATTTCAAAAAAGATCACATGACTGTATCAGCAACATGGTAGAACACCATTGACGTCCGAGGTTAGTGTGCAAGGAACGAGCCAACCGAGGAGCTCCGAGTGCCGACCTGCTCGTCGGAGTTTGCGAAGACAGCCGCCATTTTGGACCCGCTTCAAATTTTAAAATGCGAATACCTAGAGTTTAGATTGATCAATTTGAAAACAAATTATATATTAAGCATTTTCAGAAGTTCCTCTATTAACACTACTACTATCAAAGAAAAATATTGAAAATCAAAAAAGTTTTAAAAAGTCAACTTTTTAAATTCGCATCTGGTAACGACCGGAAGTAATGACGACGAACGAAAAGTCACGTCCTGGCTAGTATTTATCACGATCTATAATCCCTAAAAGTTTCACATTGACATCTTTTACCGTTCTTGAGATTATCCGCGGACAAAATGTCATTTTTAAATTCAGAAAATGGTCCTTAACTTGGCACCAGAAGTAAATTTCCAAATTTTCTCTCGGATGAAATAACTTCAGTTTACAACACATTGTTCCTGCAAATTTCATGTAAATCTATCAAGTAGTCTTCGAGAAATCGCGTGCACAAAATTAGATGGGCGGAAAAATAATAATAATAATAATAATAACTAGAAACTCATTGCGAGCAATGAGAGGTCTTCCGTCCGATTCTGAAAAAAGGAAAACTCAAGCTGAAAAAGTGATAAAAGATATTCAGACACTCTGGAGATTTAACCCTGGTCGTCAGCCTGAAAATCCAACGTGCTAACCATTAACCATTCCCTTTTTTTGCATCACTTCCTGTCACGACCAGAAGTAACGGCGATACAAGATTTTGTCACGATTCAATAAACTGATGACTGACTATCAGTCCTGAAAGTTTTAGACTTCAGTCGTTTACTGTTGCCGAGAAATAGACCGGAAGTTGACGTTTTATTTCCGGTGGAATCTAACATATTTCAAAACAGCGAAAGAGATGCAATAAAGTGATGCAAGTTTTAGTTTAAAAAAGAAAGAAGAGAAATAATATGAGCGCATCCTCTGATCTAAAAAATAAAACAGGTTTTGTAATCCTCAGAAATAGTTCTATCATTTAATAGTTGCATATTTAAGATCATAGGTTACGTCCTATATTAAATATCGAAAAATGGCTTTAAAAATTGGCTGTTTTGTAGAAATTTTCAGGGTACGAGGAAAATGACGCATTTCATGACGTCTTAATGCATAGGCTAGCCAGAAAATTACGTCATTTTTGATAGATACGTAGTCATCAAAGGTCTAAATGATATTTAATGCATTGTCAACTAAAACCAAGCAGTTTCAGTTTTTCTGAAATTCACAGGGCCAAAAAAGGCCCTAAGTGAACCTTGTTCTTTAATATTGAAACCACTACACTAGCGCAATGTACTAGCCATCATCGATGTTTACCTTGCACTCATTCCCTGAAGTAAAGAGTGTCAGGCAGGTTAATTTTTTTTCTTATAGTGCGGAATTATAGGATGAAAACTAGCCAGCTAAATTTTGTGCAAGTGCTAGTAGATTTGTTACTTGAATTTTAACAATAACTGATAGCAGAGAAAATAATCTGTTACTGATAGAAAATAAAAAAAAACTATTGTGTTTACTTCCTTTATTCTTTATGCATTCAACTTTCTATTCTATGCAATTCCAAATACAGACATGTCCGTGTAATTTTTTCTGTACTTCTACAGTACTGTATCAGACCATTTGTGAAAGGCGGGTCAAGATACATTATTTCGCGCCAAACGTCACGAGTAAATCTTCGCACCTTTTCTTTGAAATGTGTCTTCAATTGAATAAGTGTACGTGATAGCTTCAATGAAATTAAAAGAAAAAAAATATGTTGCTATAGCCTGATTTTCGAGCCTAAGAATGTTT